TTGGGGCAGAATTCACGTTCCGGTTTGTCGTGTACCCGTTGCTGTGGTGAATGCAGCTGGGCTCTGGGTTTATGAGACCTTGGCTGTGGGCTGTGTGTGCACGTGTGTGTGCATGTGCATGTGTGTGTATATGTGTATGAATACATGTATGTGTGTGTGTGTGTGTGTGTGTGTGTGTGTGTGTGTGTGTAGGTTTATTCTGCAGGGCCTTGCTGTTTTCCTCAACCCCTTTTCCTGATTTCACTAATTTCAGTTCAAACGAAAGACTGTGAAGCAGACCAGTTTTTGCTGAGTTTCCACTGCTGGTGACCTGATGATGGAGGGCGAAGGTGCCCTTTCTTCCTGTTGCTTTGCTAAAAGTATTTCACCTCAAAAGGGCAGAAGTGGACTTTGTTGAACCTTGCTAATTCCACTACTCCAGTACAAGAGGGAACAGTACTGAATACAATCCTATTATTGGTTTTTATGTTTTTTGGGGTTTTTTTGGGGGGGAGGAGCATGCTCCCAGGCAGTGCTCAGGAGACCCAGAGCCTCCTCCCAGGCTGGCGAGTCAGTTTAAGGGCACAAGGACTTGGTGTGTCCAGGCCCTGCAGGGCTGGGATTATTACATTACCATGTTACAGGATCTCCAGGCCACACCTATGCTGGGGACTAAATTGTGGCTGGTCCCAGGCCAGGCATACCTTATTAACCTTTTGGTCTCTCCAGCCTCAGTTGGTTTAATTTTTCTTTCTTTTTTTTTTTTTTTTGTTTTGTTTTGGGGCCACACCTCTCAGTGCTCTTACTCCTGGCTCTGCAATGCAGGGATCACTCCTGGTGTTATTCTGGGGACTGTATGGGATACCAGGGATGGAACCCGGATCAGCTACTTAACAAGACAAATGCCCTCCCCACTGTACTAGTCCTGGTCATTTCTTCCCAAAGCTGGGAGAAGGACTTATTTCCGCAGTCAGAAAAACAAGCATAATTAGCATTCCCTCTACTTTGAGTGCCAGGCTGGTGTGGAGCCTTGAGTTACTTGCTAGGGGAGCGAGTATTGGGCAGACTGCAGGCACACTGTGCCATTACTAATTATACTGACCCCTAGCGCGTCGCATGCCCCGTGCTGGGATTTCACTCTTGTTTGCAAGTGACCTTCCTTGAAAGTACTGAACTTTTCTTTTTCTTTTTGCCTTTTACTTTTTTTTTTAATTTTCTGGGCCGCCGCTGGTGATGTTCAGAGCTTGCTCCTGGCTCTGTCCTCCCGGCAGTGCCGTGTGTGGTGCATCATGTGCAAGGCCTTCCCTGCTGTACTAGTTTCCCACCGAGCACTGAACCCTGAGGAGCTAATGTGGCAGCTTGCTGAGGGGTAGTTAGAGCTTGTTTCTGCCCTGGTCCGAACCTCACTTGACCACTCGCTGGTGTGTGGCCTGGGACGATTTCCTCCTGTGTTAGTGGAGAGCTATAGAGCTCAGGGTTGGATGCAGTCATCAATATTTAATACCTGACTGCTGGCAAACACCAGGAAAGAGTTTTTCCTGCTCTGTAACCCTTTTTCTCATACCCACCCACTTGGTAACTGTGTGTGCTTGGTGTGTGTGTGGGGAATGTGTGTGTACGTTTGGGTGTGGTTGGGGGTGCGTGTGTACTCAGATGCATTTCGGGAGGGGTGTGTGTGTTTGGATGTACGTGTGTGTGTATATGCTCACGTGTGTGCTCGTGCTCGGATGTGTGTGTGTGTGTGGTCGGGTGTGTGTGTGTGTGCTTAGATATGCATGTACTTGGCTATGTATGTGTTTGGATATGTGTGTATGCGTGTGTGCATGTGTGTGTACTCAGATGTGTGTGTTTGTGCTTGGGTTGTGCCTGCGTGTGTGTGTGCGCTTGGGTGGGAGCACGTGTGTGCCCACGTGTGTGTGTGTGTGTATGTACGTGCTCGGGTATATGTGTGTGTATGTGTGTGCTCTGGGATTGTGTCTTTGCTGGGCATGTGCATGTGTAGATGTGTGTGCTTAGATGTGTGTGTGTGTGTGTGTGTGTGTGTGTGCTTGGTTGTGAGTGCATGTGTGCTCAGGTGTGTGCATATGTGTGTGCTCAGCTGTATGTACTCGGGTGTGTGTGACTGCTCGGGTGTGCATGTGTGTGTGTTCAGGTGTGTGTGACTGTGCTTGGGTGTGTGTATGTGCTGGGGGTGCGTTTGTGTTTCTGATTTTTTTTTACAGCTGCCTTTGGAGTCTGTGTTTCCAGCTGGCTGCCTGAGCCCTCCAGGCAACCATCCCCTCTGCTAAGTTTTAGCCATGGGGTCTGTGTGCATGTGTTGTGTGTTACCAAATGCTGTTACCATGGGCTCTGGTGCCCAGTGACCTGAGAGGAGGGAGAATTCCTGGCTCTCATGGTTCCTTCTGCTCATTTCTGCTCCAGCACCTGCGGACTGGGTGTTTGGGAAGATGAGGACAGTGACCAGCTGCCTCAGCATCAGGGACTGGGCAGTGTGAGCAGGGGGATGAGAGTGGGATGTGAGGGGCCAGCACTTGGGGAGTTGGGGGCCTCTTTTTCTGGGGTACACATTCCTCCCCTCTCCCTGGCTTGTGGGTGGGGAGCCCTCACCATCCCTTCAGGGCTCCTGGTCCTATCTGACTAGAATCTTTCCAACAGGACTTTTTTGGTTTGTTTTTGGCCCATACCTGGTCGTGCTCAGGACTCACTCCTGAGCTCAGGAATTACTCCTTCCTGGCTTGGGGACCATATGGGATGCCAGGGATCGAACACACATGCAAGGCAAGCAGTCTATTGTACTATCTCTCCAGCCCCTCCCCTTTTTAATTTTTAAATTTTTTAAAAAAATTTTATTAGTGAAATACCATGAGGTACAGTTGTAGACTTACAAATTTTTGTGCTTGGATTTCAATTATACAATGATCAAGTACCCATCCCTCCACCACTGCCCATTTTCCACCACTACAGGTCCCAGTATCCCTCCCACCCTCCATCCCCCCCATCCCACCCTGCCTCTGTGGCAAGGCTTTCCCTTTTGTTCTCTAAAACCTTAATTACCTCCTGAAAGTTCTCTCACTAACATGGTCACACACATACATACAGGATCATGGGTTACCCACTTCAGCCTTCCTCTTTCCAGAGTTCCCAGTGAGGAAAATTGGTAAAATCACCATTAACCCTCTCAGCCCCAGGCACTGTTATCTGTAAGGCAGTGATGATTTTCCCACTCCAGGGCAGCCTGAGGTCCCATAGCCTTCCTTCCCTGAGGCTCTAAGTAGAGTAATGAAAGGCCAAGGGTCATATTTGCTTCTACTACTAGCTTTCTGTGTTGGGTATTTTTTTGGGGGGGGGTGCGCACACCGCTGTGCTTACCTCTGGCTCCACAGTCAGGGTGCTCAGGGGACCTTAGGGGATGCTGGGGACCGAACCCAGGTCAGCTGCGTGCAAGGCCAGCACCCTCCCCCTTGTGCTGTTGTTTCGGCCCCTGGGCTGACTCTTGTGGTGTGTGATGGTGGCTGTCTTGATCAGCTGAGCCGTGGGTGTTCTGCTATCCCCCTGTAACCTTCTGGAAAGCCCACAGCCCCCACCACTTGGCTGCCCGCCGAGCCTGCCACATTCTGCATGCCACTTACCATGGCGCCCACTGGCTGGAGTCTGTGTCTCCCAAGGGCCAGTGTGTTCCCAGAGCCATTTGAACAGTTACAACTGGCATTGTCATGGCTGTTTACAACAGCAGATAAACGGATGACAGATGACTGCAAAAGAAGTGGGCTTGTCCCTCACGCCCCCTCTGCCCAGGAAACTGGTGAAGAGCCTGGTTTGCGTGGGAAACCTCAATAAATCCAAGTCACCGAATAGCTTTACTGTCAAGTTAGATGGGCGTGAGATGGGCATTAAGATTGCATTCGATGGGCATTAATCATAAAACTCACATTTTAAACCAAGAGAGCTCTGATCAGGGCACTGTTGTCACTTCCCTTAATGACTCAGGAACCAGAGTTCTTATGTCCAGGTTTGTGTTAAAACAATGATGTGATGTTCTCACTAGTGGACCCTCACTTTAATAGAGGACCGTACCCTGCCTTAGAAGATGTGAGATATAAAAAAAATGGGTGCATTTTTGTTACACAAACACACACACACATGCAGATAGATAGAAAGATATAGATACAGTTTTTGAGCCACACCTGGCGGTGCTCCTGGCTCAGGAATCACTACTGGTGGTGCTTTGGGGACCATATGGGATACTGGGGATTGAACCTGGGTCAACTGAACACAAGGCAAAAGACCCCCCCCCACCGCCCACCCCGCCCCCGCTGTACTATTGCTTTGGACCCTTGTTTTAATTAATCCTTAAATATTTATTTAGTTTTGGGGCCACATATGGTGGTACTCAGGACTGACTTCTGGTACTTCCCTCAAGGATCACTCCTAGAGATGTTCAGGGGAACATATGGGTTGCCAGGAATTGAACCCGGGTGAGCCACATGCAAGCCAGCACCTCACCTGCTGTACTATCTCACTGATCTGAGTGCATTTTATATGAATTTCACACACAAAAAAAATAAAAGAAGACATGCTTTTTAAAATTCTTTGCCCATTGGAGTGTTTGTGCTGTTGTGATTCGTTTTAGAGCCTGTTTTGATTATTTGGCTTGGTTTCAGTTCCGTGTCTTTGGGACATCAATTCTGTTTGGCAGAATGTGGGGCTCTCAGTAGGCCAGGGCTCTGGGACTTTTCAAGCAGGGACTCTGGAGAGGGCACACACTGGCTTGTCCTCGCTTCCTGGCTGCCCTCATGGACTGGAGCATTTTAGAGAGACGGCACTCCCTCAGCCTACAGATGAGGGGACCGAGTGTGTGTGTGTGTGTGTGTTTGTGTGTGTGTGTGTGTGTGTGTGTGTGTATGAATGGAGGGGGTGACAGGGCAGGAGCGATGATCCTGAGCCTCTGTCCGCGGGAGGGCCCCCTCTGGGCAGCGGTCTTGCCCCGCGGCAGCACTGACCTGGGCCCCCCCTTGGCACAGGACCAACCTGGAGGCCCTACAGAAGAAGCTGGAGGAGCTGGAGCTCGATGAGCAGCAGCGCAAGCGCCTCGAGGCCTTCCTCACGCAGAAGCAGAAGGTCGGGGAGCTGAAGGATGATGACTTCGAGAAGATCAGCGAGCTGGGCGCCGGCAACGGCGGTGTGGTGTTCAAGGTCTCCCACAGGCCCTCGGGCCTGGTCATGGCCAGGAAGGTGAGGCCGCCTGATAGGGAGCCAGAGTCCAGTGCTGCTGACCCTCCCTAGCATCCCATGGGGTCCCCCAGGCTCCCTGGCATGACCCCTGAGCACAGAGCCAGGACTGAGCCCTGAACCCCACCCCAGGCAAAACCTTCAAACCCAAAACATTTATAAGTAAATGAGTAAGTGAAAAGCCTTGCGTGTCGGAGGCCCCGTGTCCCATCCCTGACTCTGGGCCCAGAGCGATAGTACAGCGGGGAGGGTGTTTGCCTCCCCAGGTCCCATCCCCAGCATCCCGAGTGGTCCCTGAACCCGCCAGGAGTAATTCCTGAGGGCGTGGCTGGATGTGACCAAAAAAACCAAAAGACAAAACAAAAACCTAAGTGGCCTTTCCAAGCAAGCCCTTCGACATCTCTCTGAGGACCCACGTGGCCTCAAAATCGGGCGGAGGGAAGACTTGCTTCACTCAGTGTCAGACTGTCAGGGTGCAGGTAAGTGAGGAGTCGCTGTGTTTGCCCGTCCCTAACCTGGCACATGACAGCAGGGACCCCTTGTCCTCTCTCTGTGCTCAGGGAAAAGTACTGGGCTTCCTGCCTGTCACCTCGCACACCACATTCATTTCTGGCGTGGTGTCTCGGCTGTGCCATCCCTCCTGTTTTGAAGCAGTGCCCATTTTCCAAGGCCTGCCTCCTGTCCAGCTCTGGTCAGCTGCCTCAGAGGTGCCGGCTTCTGGCCGCCGCCCTCCACTGTCTGGTCCTCCGAGGTGCTCAGCCCAATCCGGTGATCACATGCCAGTCACCTGTCTTCCCAGCTGGAGCTCAGGGCAGCATCTGGAGACATGAGGTGGCCCCCAGGCCTGGCTGTGTTTGAGTCCTCTCCATGTCCAGCTGAAACTTCGGGGCTTGCATACCCAGTTCCTCCTACCCCCTTCCACCAAGCCCTGAGGCCACTCTCCTCTCTCAGCCTCACGGAGGTTTTCAGAAGCAAACTCCCATTCAGCTTGTTCCCAGGTGGAGCAAACGCCCTGCTTGGCCTCCTAGCCCCTGAACAGGGACACAACTGCCCTTGCCCCCATGCCAGCTCCATTGTGTTGGCACTTGGGGTTTTGGGTGGGCAGAAATTTGCCCGTTTCCTTTCTTGTTTCTCTGTTTCCGTCTTTCCCTCATAAAAGTAGGGAATGTTAAGAACTGAAGCCAGGAGTGGCTCATAGCACCGACCGCAGGCTTCCACTGGTAGGGAATTCTGGGTTTGTTCCCAGGCACATGGGGCTCCCCAGACTCTGCCGGTGTAGCCTGTGATCCCAGTGCACCACCAGGTGTGGCTGCAGAGACTCCAGCATGGCTGAGCGGTCGGTGTGCACAGCTGTGCCCAGTGCTGCCAGGCAGGGCCTCTGGTTCCCCTGAGCACTGCTTGAGAGACCCCCTCGCCCCCTCGGTTGAGCACTTCCATGCAGGAGGAAGCGCTCGCCTACCCCCCTTCTCCATGTTGACCAAGACTCTTCTCTCCCGTGGTCCCGTCCCAGCTCATCCACCTGGAGATCAAACCCGCCATCCGGAACCAGATCATCCGCGAGCTGCAGGTGCTGCACGAGTGCAACTCCCCCTACATCGTGGGCTTCTACGGCGCCTTCTACAGCGACGGCGAGATCAGCATCTGCATGGAGCACATGGTGGGTGCCGCCCGCGGGAGAGGGGCCATGGCCGCCTCCCACCGCCCTGAACCCCAGGCACTCGGCATCAGGGAAGCCCGCTGGGAGGGCTTGCATTACAGGACGATGACAGTTCGTCTGTCCTTCCTCGTCCCTTTCTTTCCTCTTTCTTTTCTACCCTCCTGTCCTCCGTCCTTCCTTCCCTTTCTTTCCTCATCTTCCTTCTCTTCTTTCCTCATCTTCCTTCCTAGTGCTGTACTGATTTTTTTGTTGGTTTCTTTGGTTTGTGGCCACACCTGGCAATGCTCAGGGCTTTCTCTTGGCTCTGTGCTTGACTCGGAAGCAAGATAGTTTTTATTGACTGAAACTTGCTTGGAAAGATGTGGAAAAGAAAGAGGTGGAAATACATGTCCAGGAGAGAGCACGGGCTTCTGCAGGGTGCAAATAGGCAAGCCGAGACACAGACAAGCAAGTGAGAGTCATGTTTGGGGGCAGAGCATGGGTTTAAAGAGTGAGCCTCTTTATTTAGATTTTTTTCGTTTTTTAATTCAAATTTTTTGTTTTGAGGCCAGTTCTGGCAGAGCTTATTCTGGGCTCTGTGTTCAGGGATCACTTGTGGTGAGTTTTGGGTACCATTGTTCCAGCCCCAGCCCCTCCTACCTTTCTTTACAGAGGGATATTCTTGTCCCCAACATTTCAGTGTTGGTAAAATCTAGTATTATGTAAATACCACCAGTACTACGATAGGTGATACTGTGTGCGAGGTATTCAGTTCAGAGCACTGGGGAGTGGGAAGAGAGTGAGTTCTGGGCACAGAGTCAAGTAGCCACCCAGCTGTGCATCAGTGGCAGGGGCCAGTGAGGGGCATCTGGGGGCTACTCAGAGGGGCCCCCTACTCCAGTGACTCACAGTGAGTTAACAGTACTAACAGCGATTAGGTAATATTTGTTGGGTGTATGTTTTAATCGTTTTCTCTTTTGGGGGGGCATGGGGTATACACCCAGTGATGTTCAGGGCTGACCCCTGGCTTTGCTGAGTTACTCCTGGTGGGACTTGGGACCCTCTGGGTTGCCAGGGATAAAACCTGAGTTGGCAGTGTGCAAGGCAAGTGCCCTCCCTGCTGTACTCAGCATCTGGAACTCAGTATCAAGCACTTCCTAAACAAGTCATATTTTGTTGCATTTTCATCATTATCTTCTCCAGTGGGGTCATCATCCCCATTTCACAAGTGAGGAAGTTAAGCCTCTGAGAAGTGGGATAATTTCCCCAAGACCATGTCACTAGTAAGATGTCTTAGTCCAGTTGGTGGTGGTGGGATTAGTGTTGAAATATTGAATGTAACAGATCATCATGAACAACTTAATAAAAAATAAATAAAACATGCAAAAAAGTCTCGGTCCAGCCCAAAGCCAGCAGCCTGGCCACAGCGCGCCTGCTTGCCCCCCGCTGAGCTGGGGACGGTGCCTCTCCTTTCATCCTTCAGGCCTTGGGCTTCATCGAACTGACTGCAGAGTTGCAACGTTTTTTCCTCAGTTCCCACTGGGCAGCATGACACAGGCGATTTGGAATCTGATGTTTATTCATGCCTCCCGTCTCCACAAAATCCATGTCGGCATGCTGTCTTATTTGTCACTGTGTCTTCAAAGCCCAGAATAGTCCTGGCACGTAGCAGATGTTCCCTGATCATTGGTTTGCTGATGGGGACCTTCCCTGCAGGACCTTCAGAAGCCTCTTATTTTTCCCAGAGTGCTGTCCACTTCTGTGCGGTGGTCTTTATTGCACCCGTGACTGTGCGGTCGTGAGATTCATAACAGCGCTGTCTGCTCGGAGCCTGTCTGCTGCCAACCTGAGTCAGGAGACTCCCCCTGATTCTCCGACAGCTCAGAGATCAGGCTGATGCAGTCAGGCAGGGTCAAATTTTTCAAGGCTGCTGGACCTGCCTGCCTGGCTGTCCCTACCCTGCCTCTGGAATCAGAACTCCTATACCTGGCCTTCACAGGTGGAAGGGAACCCTCCGTAGGAGGTTTGTGCCTTGCTGATGCTCTGTAATTTTGAACACTCCTTCATTTTAATGATCATGAAGCTCCATGCACACTGCCCCAGGCATCTGCCAACGTTTGAGGTGCCATATGGAACGTCGATCCCAAAACCATCTCTCGCACATTGAAAGGCCACCAAGAACGCTTGTAGCCCTCTTGCTGTAGCAAGAGTCTGGCCCCTTTTTGGCAGAGTGCAGGCCCGTTTCTGGCTTGGTTGCAGCCCAAGGGATGAGGATGATTGATTTCCACATGGGGCTTAGCTGCCGTCCGCTGAGCCCGGACCCCAGGGAGGGACTGTTCCTTTGGGTTCCCTGTGCTCTTTGGGCTTTGATGGTTGGTTTTCTAGTTCCCCCCAAGAGTTTTGGATAAAGATGTAGAATAAGCAGTTGGGATAGGGTAGGGGGGACATGGAGAGGCAATACAGTGGGTAGGTGCTTGCCTTGCATGCGCTGGTGTGGTTTGATCTCCGGCACCCAGTATGGTCCCCTGAGCACAGAGACAGAAGAGCAGAAGATGGGGGGCTTACCCCATCTCCCACCACTTACTGAGCCCTTTTCACCTGCCATTAATCATATCCAGTGAAATGATCGCATGTGTTCGGGGCGGTGGGGAGGAGGTGGTGTCAGGAGTTGAATGAACCCAGAACCTCATGCATGCAAGACAATTGCTGTCCCAGTATGCCACATCCCCGGAGGTGAGGCAGATTGCCGAGACCCCTCTTCCATCAGCCAGGAGCCGGAGAGGGAGGCCAGGAGATGTGCAGTCACAGGGCTGGTACCTGCGGAGGTGGGCTGTGCAGAGTGCCCGATGGCCTCCCTCTGCAGCCCGGGGCAGGGCTGTGTTCTCAGGCTGTTGCCATCACTGCAGAGAAAGGTTTGGAATGGATCTGTGCAAGGGACCCTGGCCACGCTCACACCCTGCGTTTCTATGGTTTCTGGCAGGTGTAAACCCGATCAGTTAATAAGCACGGGCTGAGCTTCATGCACGCTTATTTTTAGTGCCTGTTCTGCGTGAGGTGCCACGTGGGCTGCTGCGGGGGCGGAGGCCTGGGGAGCAGTGTCCGACCCCCCCCCCCCCCGAGCTGGTCTCAGACTGGACCACGGTGTTCTGGACTCTTCTCCGGGAGGTGTCAGTGTGGGCTTGGGGGCTTCTGTGCATCAGGAACCTCCCAGTCAGGCCTGCTCTCTCAGGACCACCAGAACCAGGAAGCCACTGAGTTCTCTCCAGTTCTGTGCCTCCTGAATTCTCCCTCTGACAGTGACGCCAGGGGACTGCTCGTGGGCAGGTCCCTGCTTCAGGTTAGACAGTCCACAGGCCATGACCTGTGCATTCAGTGACAGCTTGCAGGAACCTTTTGTTTGGTTTTGTTTGTTTATGGGGTGCCCAGTCCACTGCATGTAAGGCAAGTGCCCTCCCGCTGTATGATCACTCCGTGCCCTGCAGTTCTCACTTTTTGCTCTGAATTACTTGTCACTGATCATGGCTCTTGTGCCTCTTGCCCATTCCTGGGAGGAGATGAGACAGGCTTTTTTTCCGTTCTCTAGACCCATTTCCGGTTCTGTACGTGGGCCCTTCCTGCCCCCAGCCCCACGTGAATTTGACTCTGAGGGACAGTGGGGTCCTCTGACAATGGTGCCTAAAGAGACCGCTGGCATTGCCCTGGGCACCCTCAGCCTGGGAGACCTGGGGTGGGGGGCCTGGGGGGAATCTGCTTAGGAGTCAGCACTGTGTCTGTGGCCCTGTGATTGGTGCCAAGTGACTGCATGTGAAGGGCACTGTCAGCTCAGACCTTAGGACGAGCGCTGGTGGGGCCAGAGCAACAGTATAGCAGGGAAGGCATTTGCTTTGCACGTGGCTGACCCAGGTTCAGCCCTCGGCATCCCAATTAGTATCCCCAGCCCACCAGGAGTAATTCCTGAGTGCAGAGCCACGAGTAACCCCTGAGCATCTCTGGATATGCTCCTGCACCCCACTCCAAAATATATATATATATGTATATATATAAATAAAATGGGCTAGAGCGGGGTCACGTGTTTGCCTTGCACATGGCCGACCCGGGTTCGATTCTTCCGCCCCTCTCTGAGAGCCCAGCAAGCTACCGAGAATATCCTGCCCGCATGGCAAAGCCTAATAAGCACCCCGTGGCATATTCGATATGCCAAAAACAGTAACAAGTCTCACAATGGAGGCGTTACTGAGCCCGCTCGAGCAAATCAGTGAATTACGGGAGGACAGTGCTACAGTGCTATAAGTAAAACAGAATGGCACAAGTGCGCGTTCCTGGGTAAACGCACTAGGACAGTGGGAGATGCCGTGGTCAGTCTGGACCGTGCAGGGTGGTCACTCTTAAAGAGTCCACATAACCATGAGTGTGGGGAAAGCTGCTTCCATCTGCCTGGGCTGCCCTGGCAGACGCTGCCGGCTGCCTCTTCTCTCCTGACACTTCCCCTTTGCCTTCGCTTCTGCGTCTCCGAGGTCGGGTGTTACCCAGGGGCACCTCTTTGGGCCTTTCCTGGCAAGGTCTGTGCCCCGCCCGCTCCGGGGTCCTCTGTGTCACAATCTTCCCGTGAAGTGCTGTGTCATTCATATCCTCCAACTCCTGACTGTGTGGTCTGCCTCACGAACGCAGAGGCTGGCGGGATTGTATGATGGACCCTGAGCAGCGGGTCCCACACTTATCTAATGTGGTCTGCCCACAACTTTTCAGGACAAAAGTGAAACTGCCTTGCAGCCTTGGAAGCATGCCTTCTCCCAGCATCCTCCAGCACCCACATCTGGGTAGCCTGGGAGGCTCTGCTCTGGGCTCGCTGCCTCCATTCCATAGTGAACATTTTACTCTATGAGCCTTCACCATGTATTGTTGATCAACTCTGCCTGGATTTTTATTTGGAAACACCTGTTTTGTTTTGTTTTGGGTCCACAGCTGGGAGCAATCTGGGACTCAGTGCTGGTGGTGCTTGGTGGGGCGTGGGGTGCCAGGAATCCATTGTGTGCCTTCTCTCCATTTTTTGTTTTTGTTTTGGGGCTACACCTGGCAATGCTCACAGGTCACTCCTGTAGGTGCTTGGGAGACGGAACCCAGATCTGCTGCATGCAAGGCAAACTCCCTCCTTGCTGTATAATGAAAAGGATTCCCATTGCTGCCTTTCGGATGCATTTTATTTCTGTCTACGTGATAGGTGTCATGTATACAATGTTCCTGCACTCTCCCCGGAATGTTTTCCTCCCTCCACCCTTGTCTCAGGGGACCCCTCCCATCCCCTGCTCCTCCTCCACTCTTGGTGAGTTTAGTTCTGTAAACCAGGTCTCGGCTTCTGTTGTATTTGACCATTAGTTAATCCTATCCTATCCCAATCCCATCCTTTATACCCCAGGACAGAGAGATTATTCTGTGCATCTCTTTTTCCTTACTTTTTTTTTTTTTTGGCTTTTGGGGTCACACCCAGTGGTGCTCAAGGGGTTACTCCTGGCTCAGGAGTAACACTCAGGAATCATTCCTGGCAGTGCTTGGAGTACCATGTGGAATGCCAGGCATTAAACCCAGTCGGCTGCGTGCAGAGCAGACGCCCTATGTGCTGTACTGTCGCTCCAGCCCCGATTCTGTGCATCTTAAAGTGAGTTTGTGTAATTGAGCCCTGCCTTCTAAAGCACTTAGCTGAGCACTGGACTTACCGAGAGATAAGCCACATTTGCACTGCTGGTGACTGACCTCCCAGCCCCCTGATGGGAAGAGAAATTCTCTGGTTTGTAGGGGAAGTAGATTCCTGCTCAGCTGACAGCAGGCCAGCCAGAGAACTGGGGACTCAGAGTTCATGGTTCTCTAGCAGGAGTAAAAGCGTTTGCATTTTTCCCTCCCCATAATGCATTTGTTTCTTCTGTAGAAAACCTTCACAAAAGCACCGTTGACTTAGTTAATAATCGACTTCTAAAAATAAGCACAATCCCAGCAGCTTCAGCAGGCAAAAGCCCTCGGCAGCAGCGGGGAAGAAGGAACAGCAGTGGTGGTGGTGGGGGAGTGTGGAGGGATGGGGGTGATACCTGCCTCTCTGGGAAGTCCCAGCTCCCCTCTGGACCGCCAGTCATGCCCCTCCTGTTGTCTGCGCTGTGAGGCCACTTGCCACCTCTCTTCCAGGAGGTCAAAGGGAAGAGGGCCACAGTTGCTTCCTTTGTAATAGAATTAGTTACCATACTCCCCAGGGAGAGTAGAACTCGAGGCAGGGACCTTCTACCTGACAATCACCCTCTGTCCTGGGCATGAAACCTGGGAGTTTTTCTACTTCATCTGGGTCAGACTCTGACAGCGTTGCCTTGTCTTGTGTGGACTTCTTTTGTTTTTTCAGTCCACACCCAGCAGGGCTCAGGGTTTATTCCTGGTTCTACACTCAGGAATCACTCCTGGCGGTGCTCAGGGGACAGTGCCGGGGATTGAACTTGGGGCAGCTGCAAGTAAAATAAATACCCTACCTCCTGTACGATTACTCTGGCCTCAACTATTTTTCTTTTTATGTCACATAAAAGAGAGGTCATTCTGCATCTGTCCCCTTCCGACTGACTTCACTCAGCTGATGCCCACCCACTCCATCCCATACACAGTGGCAAATTTCATGACTTAGGTTTTTCTTCAAGCCGAGTAGGTGTTCCATTGTGTCTGTGTCTGACAGTTCTGTTTGTTTTTTGGTTTAAATCCACTTGTCTGTTATTGGGCACTTGGGTTGTTTCCAGATCGTGACCATGGTGAGCAGCATAGGAGTGCAAGTGTCATTTTGAAAGAATGTACGGACTCTCAGTCCTTTGTTTTTTGAGATGTCTCTGTACTGTTTGCCAAAGAGACTGAAGCAGCTGACATTCAAAACAGTGAGTCAGGTGTGTGGAAAGCTGATCTTCGAAATAGGAGTGAAGAGTATGAAATAAAGCCAGGAAAGCCTTTCGAGCAGTCTGTGGAGGGTGCACTGGACAGTCAAATGTGAAAAAGTGAACTCAGACCCCCCCTCTCACACGTGCATGAAAATGAATTCAGAATGGATTGCAGAGCCTGATTCTGTAAAGTATTTGAGGAAAACATAGACAGAATCCTCCATGACATTGAATCTCGAGGCTTCTTCAGTGACTCATTGTCATTGGCCAAGCAAACAGAAACGAAGACAAGCAAAGGGGACTGTGTTTGCTACTGCAGAATGAAGAGATGAGACTGCAATGAAAAGACCCCTCAGACTGGAAGTTGTTCACCCTCCACTGACCGGACTGGGTTAATATCCAAGATATGTAATGCTCTTGTGAGACTTGAAAAAACAAAGAAAAGAAATAGTCCCTCAAAAACAGGAAAGAATAGATGAAGAGATATTTCCACTGCTGCTGAGAATGTCCACTGTTAAACGTCTTAGGAAAACAGTATTAAATAAGTTATTCAAAAAGGTAACACACTTAAATGTTCTAGACAGTTTATAAATAGAAAACACAAACCGTCACACAGCAAATACTCCTGTCTATTTCCTCTGCTCAGTTTTCAATTTATTACATTTTTTTTCTTTCCCCTTCCAGTTTCCGGGATATTCTTGTTCCTACTAAGGGACCCTCCTGATGCCGAGAGTCCCAGGGCTTCTTCTGGCAAAGCTTGTGCACAAGCCTTTGAAGCTACCCCCGCCTTGGAACTGTCTTTTATATATCCCTGTCCCCCACAGAATGTAGCACAATTTGTGGAATGCCATAGGATTTGTAGAATGGATCATTGCTTTCTATAAAACTTCGCTTTAGACTTTATTAATTATTATTAAGGTAGTACCAATACCAAATGCAAATTGTAACTTCCATGATGGTCAAAAAAAGCAAACATTTATTGAGTTACCTAGTGTTGGGTTTTTTTTATATATTGCTTGCTTAATATAATTTTTATAATTGTGGTATTATCTCATTGTACAAGTCAATGTTAGTGGGTCGGTCCCACTAACAAGCAGATCTGAGATTTGAACTTGGACAGTTTGTCTACTGAACCCAACCATTAGCTCAGTGCTAATGAAGATTGATTTTCTACAGCTTATTTGGTAGTTTTTTTTTTTTAACACTTATTCACGGGATTTGAGTTAAAATCTCATACCTTCTACAGTGTTTTGCATTCCTATCATATTTGACGCTTGAGACGAACTGAAGGATACTTTCCCAAGGGGATCTGTCTCTTGTGAGAGATGTAAGAATTGTGCAAAGTAGCCACTAAATGGATTGGTACTTTTGTTCCTAGGATGGAGGTTCCTTGGATCAAGTCCTGAAGAAGGCTGGAAGAATACCTGAACAGATTTTAGGAAAAGTTAGCATTGCTGTGAGTATTTTGCTGCTCCTTACTTGCAATCCCTCACTGATGAATTAATGATGTAGTGGGAAATGCATCAGGGAAAAAGGGGGAAGTTTGGAAGAAAAGTGGATTTTCCCACTAGAATTTCTCTGTCTAGATTTTACGTGGGCTGGAGCGATAGCATAGTGGGTAAGGTGTTTGCCTTGCATGCGACCAACCTGGTCCACCCAGGTTCGATTCCTCTGTGTCTCTCGGAGAGCCCAGCAAGCTACTGAGAATATCTCGCCCACACGGCAAAGCCTGGCAAGCTACCCATGATGTATTTGATATGCCAAACACGGTAAAAAGTGTCGCAATGGAGACATTACTGGGCCCACTCGAGCAAATCAGTGAACAATGGGAGGACAGGGACAGTGACAGATTTTACATACACCATTTTTTCTTTCTTGGGGCCAGAGAGCTAGTACAGCAGGCAGGGTGCTTGTCTTGCTTGCAGCTCCCTTGGAGTTGATCCCAGACCCTGATCCCAGACACGCTGTAAGATTTCCCACACCTCGCCAGGAGTGACCCGAGTTCAGAGCCAGGAGTATGCCCTGAACACAGTGGGTGTGATCCCAAAACCCAAATCAAAAACAGAAACAAAACACATTCTCTTCCTTCCGCATCCTCTTCTCTCTCTGTCTCTCTCACACATACATGAGGAATAGGAAAGTGAGGTTCTATGAAAATATAAGTTGTGAAGTACACGACAAGTTATCCAATAGCTTCCCATTTGTAACATACGAAAATCTCATTGAAGATAGCAAATTTAGAGGGGGAAATACTTGAGTGTGAATTCAAGGAATTTAAAGTGGAATCAGGCAAATTCAAGTATGTCTAAAGTCATTTAAACTTATAATGTTTGGGCTGGGGAGAGAGCTCAGCAGGGTGAGAGTGTGTTTGCATGTGGGAGGCTGCACCGGGTCCCCTGAGCTCTGCCAGGAGCTGTCCCCAAGCATGGTGCTGGGAGTAGCTCCAGAGAGCTGGGTGTGGCCCCAAAAGGGGAAAAATATGTAATGATCAATTTTATTTAAAAATAAAACATGGGGCTGGAACAATAGCACAGGGGGTAGGGCGTTTACCTTGCACGCGGCTGACCCAGGTTCGATTCCCAGCATCCCATATGGTCCCCCGAGCACCGCCAGGAATGATTCCTGATTTTGCAGAGCCAGGAGTAACCCCTGAGCATTGTCGGGTGTGACCCAAAAGAAAAAACAAAAAAATAAAACATGTACCAAGAGATGATTTCTTGATAAGGTACATACATTTAAGATGATTCAGGGCGAGAGCAATAGTTCAAAGAGCTGGCTAAATTCCAGCCCCCCAGCTCCTGGAGGGCCTGGCCACACAGCACCTCCAAACCTGGCTGTCCCAACATCCCAGAGGAACCCGCAAATTCGATGGGAAATTTGGATAGAAGCCTACTGAGCTCGGTGTGCAAGAACAACACAGGAGGCTCTGCTGGCTCCTAACAGCTCAGTAAACTCAGGCTAATACTGCAGCAACACCATTGGATATACGGCGATGATAACAGATTGATTTTTTTTTTCTTTTTGATTCATACCCGGCGATGCACAGGGGTTACTCCTGGGCTCTGCACTTAGGAATTACTCCTGGCGGTACTCAGGTTACCATAAGGGTTGCTGGGAATCGAACCTGGGTTGGCCATGTGCAGGGCAAACGCCCTACCCACTGTGCTATCACCCCAGCCCCCACGGATTGACTTTTATTGATCTACTCTTTGGTAATTCCATTTGCCTTTTGTATTGTAGCAAACACTATGAAGTAAATTTGTTGTGCCTGTTAAGACTTAGGGACTGGGTGACTAATTGGAAACATCGGTGGAGGGAAGGTCACACTGGTGTTGGTGTTGGTGTTGAATCATTGCACGCCCAAAATTGTATTATGAACATGGTAAATCACGGTGTTAATAATAACTTTTAAAAACCGAGTTAATGCTTTCAGGCCCAGGTCCAGTCCCTAGCACTGCGTGGTTCTCTTGAGTATTGCTTGTAGTGACCGACCTTTGAGCACTGAGCCAGGAGTAGCCCAAATCCTACCAGGTGTGTGGCTCAAAACTCCCCTGTCCACAAAACTCACACAGAAGAAAGAAGAGGAAAAGACAAATTTAGGATCTTAGGTGAAATATCTAATCTTGGCTCTGCTCTCGGGGATCACTTCAGAATAGGTTTTTTGTTTGTTTTGGGGCCACACCCCCTGGTGCTCAGGGATCACTCCTAGTGGTGCTCAGGGGACTGTATGGAATGTCAGGGATGGAATCCAAGCCAGCCACGTGCAAGGCAAAATGCCCTACCTGCTATCTTTCCAACCCATTTTCTTTTTGAAAAATACTTTTTTCAGATCACTTAAAAATATTTTTGGGGCTGGAGTGATAGCACTGTGGGTAGGGCATTTGCCTTGCACGCAGCTGACCCGGGTTCAATTTCCAGAATCCCATATGGTCCCTCGAGCACCGCCAGGGGTAATTCTGAGTGCAGAGCCAGGAGTAACACCTGTACATTGCTGGGTGTGACCCCCCCCCCCCAAATATATATATATATAATTCTTAAGCTTAATTTTTTTTTTTTTAGCATTTTCTGTAAAGCACTGTTTCAGGTTCTTTTTATGTTTCCTCTCTGTAGGTAATAAAGGGCCTGACGTATCTGAGGGAAAAGCACAAGATCATGCACAGGGGTAAGATATGACTGCCTTGCTGCATTCTGAATTTTGCATCTCCTTTTGTGTTTTGTTGTGAAAATCATCTCCACGTGGCGTTTAAACATTAGGAATGCTTATCTGTTAGTCTGATGGCTAGTACAGCAGGTCCCAGCTTCCTTTTGACCTGTGCTGCCCTTTTATTCGAGTTCATGGACCTCATCCAGCAAGCCCGACCGAGCCTTAGTGGAACTGAACCACCCAGTGTGGTGTCACTTGCTGCCCACTGATTTTGCATGACCCTAAACCATGAATAATTAACTGGAGATGGTTTTGACAATAAGAAAAGTTTGAGGGGGTCAGAGCAATAGTACAGCAGATAGGGTGCTTGCCTTGCAAACGATCTCCAGCAACTTATATATCCAGTGCTCGGGGCTGAGTCTTGGCTCTGCTCTCAAGGATCACTTCTGGTAGGCTCGGGGAAACCCTATGTGATGCTAGGGAGCTCGCTCACGTTGGCCGTGTGCAAGGCAAATAAATGGCCTGGTCTAACCCCCAGACTTCTCCTTTTTCAAGAACCCCTGAGCCAGCTCCTTCCCCAGAAGGATTTGGGGCTGGACTTGGACATTCCAGCCATGATGTGCATCCTCTCCTGCCACCTCCTCTCCCCTTAGCGGTGGATGGTGGGGAAGGAGAGGACACACCGTTCATCATGGTGTTTGTGCTCTTAGCTGTGAGTGTGCACGCCCATGATTTCGTGTGTCCCTCTTTGGTTGTGATGCTCCACATTGGTGTGATTTATCTGGGTACCTGAGGCCCTAACAGAGTCGCAGAAAGTAGCTCCCCCGTGGCTTGTCAGAGGTGGGTGTGGTTTGACTTGTGCTGCAGGGCGCAGATTTGACAGTGATACCGGCCAAGCATCTGTCTGGCCTGCTCTGAGCAGTCAGTAATCTGCTGCTGATTTTCCTTACCCTGCACCTTCTACATACCACTTTGGTCTTTCCATGCCAAGAGTCCTAACCTTTATTTCTGATCCTAGGAGAAGTTTCCAGATGATTCCTGGAATAACTAGCATGCTGTCTCTTTTTGCTTGCTGCTGCCCTTACTTTCTAAGGATTTTCGTTCTTGATGCCACCGATGATTGCCCTTTGGCAAGAAGAGCTGCTCTGTGAGCCAGACGGATCTCTGGGCAGATGTCCCTGTGGGGATTTCTTTACTTCCCCGCCAAGAGTGGGCAGTTGCTAAGAGCATTTCTGCCCCTCCAAGTGGTGTGTGCCACTGGCCTGGCCAGCTTGCTCAACTTTGCAGATCCCTAGGCTGGAAAATCCTGAGTGGGTGGACTGCAAGGGCCCCTCTTCCCTCTACAGACCCCCCTCCCCCGCCCTTACCCCAGGGGATGGTCTCGTGTATGATTTCCTCCCTGCACAGGAAGTCGGAGAGTGAGTCACTCCTTGAGACCTGAATTAGGGCACGGAGGAGAGCACGTGTCTCCCTGGGGTATCTCCCTGGGCATCTCCCTAGGGTGTCTCCCAGCTTCCTCCCAGCCAGCACATTCTCCTCTGGTAGGAAAGAAATGTTCTTCCCCATCCACCAGAAACAGTCTCTTCTCTGTGTTTTAAGGGGAAAAAAATGGGGGAAAATGAAGAATGGCTTAAAAATATTACTATATTTGTTGATAATAATTTGTTGGAGGCAGTGTAGTGATTATTTGAATTAGATTTTGCTGTAAATCCTCCCCAAATTTAGTAGTTTGAATAATTTACTTTGGGCTCGGAGTCATACCTGTGGTGCTCAGGGCTTACTCCTGGTGCTTAGGGGACCATATGCAGTGTCAGGGTTCAAACCCGTGTCCATCCCCAGCACCACATATGGTCCCCCATGTCCCGCCAGGAGTAAGTTTTCAGCACAGCCGGGTGTGACCCAACCCTCTGACTCACTGAATCTTTTTTTGTTCGTTTGTTGTTTGGTTCACACTGAGGTTGCTCAGGGCTCACTCATGACTCTGTGCTAAGGGACCACACTTAGTGGGGATCTGGAAACCATATAGGGTACTCAAGATTGAACCCAGGTTGCCATGTGCAAGACAAGTGCCCTACCTGCTGTATTGTTGCTCTAGCCCATGTCTCCCCGAATCTTAAGCACCATTTTATAATTTTTTAAAAATTTTTTGCTTTTTGTGTCACACCCAGCAATGCACAGGGGTTACTCCTGGATTTGCACTAAAGAATGAATTACTACCGGTGGTGCACAGGGGACCATACGGGATGCTGGGAATTGAACCTGGGTTGGCCATGTGCAAGGCAAACACCCTATCCGCTATACAGCCCTATTAAGCACCATTGTAAACTTCTTGTCTGACTTATGAATGTTTTCCTGACAAAAACAGCTCTCATAGTCAGGCCAAGATTCAAACAGTAGAGGGATAGACCCCACCTCTTGTTGGTAGATTTCTGAAATTTTTATGACCCCTTTCTGCACTCTGTCACAGTGATGGAAACTCAGGGCTTAAGTCCTTGGTGGCCTATTTACTTACTATGTGACCTTGGCAAGTTATTGAACCTCTCTAAACCTCAGGAAAGTGGAGAAGATCGACTCTTCTTAAAGGGGTATGAGGACTGGCGGTTGCTGAACTGCAGTGTTCTGATTACCCATAAACAGTGTCAGCCTTACCAGATCCGAATGTCTCAAAACGTGCTCATCAGAAGGTTCCTGGGAAAGTTCAGAGAACCTGGAACCCACAGGTTCTAGAAGGGCAAGGAAGGACCCAGGACCAGCAATATGCTGGTTGGAGGCTCAGTCACTCAAGCAAGGAAGCAGTTGATCGGAGCTTGCCTTGCTTATGGCCAACCTGAGCTCGATCCCCAGCATCCCGTATGGTGCCCAGAGCATCACCAGGAGTGATTACTAAGTGCAGAGCCAGGAGTGACCCCTGAGCATTGTTGGGTGTGGGTTGCCCCCTGCCTCTCCCAAATAAAACAGTTGTCTTGAAACCACAGCTTGGGCTGTGGCTGCCCATGACCTTCCCAAGCTTCTGGGGTATCCTGGCTCCCCTCCCAGGGGTCAAGGTTGGTTCCTCTGAAATATGTGCTCCCCCTGCAGACATGTGGGGATTGGGGACACTGTTCCCTCCTGCTGAATCTCGGGGAGCATAGTTTGGCATGCAGATGTGTCACACGTAATTTAAAGGTCACTGTCACTTTCCTCCCGTTGTTCATCGATTTGCTCGAGTGGGCAGCAGTAACGTCTCACAACAAATTGTGAGACTTGTTACTGTGTTGGGCATATCGAATACGTCATGGGTAGCTTGCCAGGCTTTGCCGTGTGGGTGAGATACTTTCAGGTTGAGGAAAATCTGTCACTGCTCTCATCAAATCTAATGTGCAGACACAAATCACACAGCGGTTTCCAGGGGCAAATATTCTGTGTTTTTCAAAATATTTACTGCAGGACTTTCACATATCGATGAGCCTGGAATGTTCAGAAAAGAAAAGCAGATGACGTCAGTGTGGTGGAAACGTTCCTTTTGTGCTTTGTTTGGGGGCCTTACTGACTGTGCTCAGGGATACTCCAGTGGTTCTTGAGGTGCCATATGGTGCTGGGGTCTCACTTGGAGCTGCTGTGTGCGAAGCATGCACTCTCACCCTCCAGGCTGTCCCCTCAGCCCTCAAATCTTTCTGAGAACATAACCCTGGTGTAAAATGAGGCATACCTGAAATTAACAAGTCACTTGTTTTTGGTTGGATTTGGGCCATGCTTGGAGGGGCTCAGGGGTCTCTCCTGGTGGGGCTCAGTGGAATGTTTGTGATGCCAGGAACCATACCCAGGGCAGTTGTGTGTGAAAGGCAAGTGCCCTACCCCTGTACTACCTCTCTGGCCCCAACTTACATTTTGTTTGGAGACCTGGAGGGGCACCTGGCAGTGCTCAGAGCCTACTCTCAGCTCAGGGATCACATCTGGCAGGGCCCCAGGGACCATATGGGGTGCCCAGAAACTCAGGTCAGCCACGTGCAAAGGCGGATGCCCTTCTCTCTGTCCTGTCTCCTGCCGACATTGATCAGCTTTAAGTTCTTGATGGAGACACGGACCACAGCGAGGAGAGAGGGTTTCATTGAGAACCTGGAAGGTGTCAGCCACCACAGTCTCTGCAGAGACCATGACTGGTGGTGGGAGGTTCTTGGTCTCTTCATCCAGGCGGTGGGCGACCCTGCGACCCAGCCCTGCTCTGTGCCCCTCGCAGCCCTGTGTGGCTCTGAGCCCACTCTAACGGGTGAGCTCGGATTCTGACTGAGTGCCTGGAGACACCTTCTGTGATTGAGATCAATAAGAGGCTTGAACAACATGGCCTGTAAATTATTCCTGCCTGGAGTTGCTGCCTAAAGATCGATAAATGCTAAGAGAGTGTTTTTCTTCCCCTTCCGTCAGATGAATGGCACACAGCCTGATCGCCAGGGAGCTGTGGCCTGGGATGCTGAGAAAGCCCGCCTCGCTCTTCATTTCTTTCTTTATTTTGGTTTTAGGGCCACATCTCGTGTTGCTCTGGGTTGACTCCTGGCTCTGTGCTCAGCGGGGATGGGGAGGGAAGCATTTGGGTTGCCTGGGATTGAACCCAGGTTGGCCGTGTGCAAGACAAGTCACCCCCTGCCCCAGCTCGACTTTCTGTGGGCTGCATGGCCAGACACGTCTCCGTGAAGAGTAGTTTATAAGTTTATACCTTGGGGCTACCCTGCTTGGGGGCGTCGCATCTGCAGCCCCTTATTTTTTTTTTTTTATAATTTATTTATTTATTGAATCACTGTGGGAAAAGTTACAAAGCTTTCAGGTTTAGGTCTCAGTCATGCAAATATCAAACACATTTCCCTTTACCAATACTTATTTTTAACCGCGAACCCCAATAGAACCCCACCTCCCACCCCTCCCAATGCCTGTGAGGCAGATGAGTTCTAGTTAACACTCTATCTACTTTTACTAGATTCATTGTTTCGATAAAAGATGCACCATTATTATTTATAGTTTACCCCTACCCCCCCCCCCCCAAATCA